GGAAAAAAAACAATTCAAAATATATAATCGTTGGGTCTCACAAGTAAAAAAAGCATTGTGACGGAATCACATTTCAAAAAAGTTGAAGTTTAGTAAAACATTATTTCTTCAGAAGGATAGGGATAGTTCACAAGGCTTGCCAAATCTCCTGATTTTCTTAATTTTCTTCTAATGAAAAATCTCCTGATTTCAGGAGCTGATTTATACGATTTTCTCCTGATTTCTCTTGATTTTATTTTTTTAATTACTTGATGATTAGCAACACGTTGAATCAATGTAGGCTTCGAAGAGAAAAGAAGTTTTTCATTTTTTTATGGATATAATAATAATGTTCAATAAGATAATGCATTTCTCTTCGTTTCCTTCTCTAACATGAAATCTTAATTAAACAAAATTATTTCTGGAACACTTATTTTCAATGTATTATTCATAGGTAGATGATATTACTTTTAATTATAGGATTTCTTAATTTGGATTTATCTTTATATATTTTGTATATCCGAATAGGTAGTGACGACATGAATATAGTAGAATATAGAAATAAATATTGTGAAATGAGTAACTTTGCTTTATTTATTTTATTTACAAGAGATTTTTTCCCTTCAACGACACAGTAAATTCAGTCGATTTACAAACAGGGTGGGTGTGGACTAGCGAAAACTTGCATTTAATCAGATAAAACCCATCAAGAGACTCCTGATTTTCAAAGGAAAAACCACTGATTTTTGAAATTATGATTTGGCATCCCTGTAGTTCACACTGAAGTTAACATACAATATCACCTAAATACTAAAACAATAAATAAAACTCTTTCAAACAGTCCTAATAACATAAAAGTACTACTTCGACCTGTGCAATCATGATGCAATCACGTTTTTTCATTTTGTATTTTCAATATCTCAACGGAACGATGTCAGATGAAGCTGAAATTTTGAGAATATATCTAAGTCGAGTTGCCCTACACACTCTAAAACTTTCATCAGATTTGAAGCTTTCTTGACAGTTTTATGATTGAAATATAGGCCCGTGATGGAAACATCAAAAATGGACTGCGAGTTTGAGTCTTATGTAAAGAACTGAAAAAGTTAGCTCAATTAAAACTGAAGAAAAAACATTCTATAGAAAAGTTGTAGCTGAGATGACATGCTATGCATGCGAAAAAAGAAAAATTTAAAATATGTTAAGAAATGGATTTGGAGAAGGGAAAAGGCTTCGTGATGGATTCACGCTTTGAGAAATAGCCATGTTTTTTCAACGTCTATTTCTTCAGAAAGTTATCTATAACCCCTAAGAATGAACAAACTTGTATCATTCGGGAGAAATCAATAAAAACAAACCATCTTACATCATTCTTCTGATAACGTAAAAATTTTATTATAAAAGTATGAGGTACATACTAGATATCATCACTAAAGCGTCATCTGCAATTTCGGCAATGAAAAATCACTTAGAACTGTCATAAATCAATTGCAGAATTGAGCAGTGAGATTCCAAAACCTCTTTGCCTATCTAAGAATATGTATAAAATACAATATAAGAGAAAAATACTGTTTCTATTTATCTGTAGAAAACGTACTTAGTCGATCCGATGGTGATTCCGTCACGCTCTTTGTAACGAAACAAGAATGCTTGTTAAAAGCTAATTAGTTCTTTGGATAGAGCGAAAAAAAACTAGCATTAGAGCAGTTATTCATAGAATCAGAAATATCTTGTTTTCGGCTAAAAGTGAGTTACAGGGTATTTTCGTGACGGAATCACCATCATAAATGGACTACTTTTTAAATATAAATACCTCTCTTAAGGAATGGCAAAGCTTAGACCTCTTGTTATGCCTAAATAGCTTAATCAAGACAGTTTTAAAACATGTGATCGGTTCTGAAAAAAATGACATTTGTCTGTATGAAAAATTACAAAATGTAAACTCATGATAAATATTTATTTTTATCGATGCAGAGTGTTACTTGTTTAACAGCATTTTTCCTCTGAAATATACAAAGCTACTTAAATAAAAACTACACTTTGTAAGCTATCGACAATGCTCTACAAGATGGCTGTGTTTGTTTTGTTCAGCTTTTAGGCTCGACTTCGCCCACCAAGGTGGACCGTTACGTGGACAGGTCGAATAATAAAAAACAGTGCATAATAGAGAGAAGACACGTCAGAGATGTCCACTGCGAAGGACATTTCTGAGATTAAAAATATCATATTTAGAAAAATATTATATTTACATGTTAAACTTGATGAATAATTTATTTTTTGATGATTTTTCTTGTAACATAAAATATAAAGCATAATAGTTCGTTAAAATAATGCCGTAGGTGTATTGGTGCCCAAATACTCATTGTTTGTGATATTTCTAGTTTCATTATTAATCGTAAAATAAATTACATGCAATTTATTCTTTTACAATTAAGTAATTTAATTTGTCAGTGAGTATACAAGATTTTTCTTCATTTTTCTACATTATTAATGTCATATAAGTGATCATATTGTCTTCAAGTTCTAAAATACTGTATCTGAAGTGTTTTATTAACAGTCATTTTGGATTTTAGTTGAAAGAAACGAAAACTACAATGTAGTATGATATTTCAATAGTTCAATGTTATCAGAGGTGAACATAGTTAATCGAACATTTTTAACGAAGATACTTTGTTAACTCTTGTCAGTATGAATTAAAAATGTTTTTCCTGCATAAGCAAAAAAATGCTTTATTCTTCGATTTCGTCAATTCCGTCGTTTGATGTATCCTTCAACTGTATGAATACCGATTGAAGACGAATAATAAACTTCATATTTATGAGAGTATGCATGGATATTCATTGTCGTATCAATGGTTAAAAATATTGCACTCATTCGCTTGTTTCTAACTAACATGTCGTTGTTAAATGGAAGACTACGTTTTTAATTGTTATTTTTTATTTATGATTGAAATACGAAAAAGTTACAAACAAAATGTCTCACTATAGTAGAACCAAAAGCAAATTATATGTAAAGTGTACTAGCTTAATACGAACAATTTTATTTTGATTAGACAACATATAATCGATCTTATTAATTGGTAATAGAATTCAGATCATGTTCAATACTTTTAAAAATTAATTCTATAATAATTCAAACCGAATCATTTATAACTGTGTTTATTTTGATGTAAAGTGTTATTTTATCTTTTCATTAAATAATAATAAACGACATTTTTTTTAGAATTATTTTATCAACCACACTCATGGAAGGACATAATTATGGCAATGCTTATGAAATTTTTATGTTTTTGTAGAAAAATATTTGCATTATTTAGCTTTGCTTGATAAGAACAGGCAAAGTTACTCAAAAGAAAAAGAACAATAATTATTTGCATTGAAAAACTTCACAAGGCTGGGGTAATTCTTTCGAATTCTCGTGCATTACAACGAGTAGCTGTTTTAATGTTTCTTCTTTTTCAAAGCATATTCAAATGTTTTGTCGTTACGCGATGGTTACCAAAACACAAAATCATCCAATAGAAAAACAGAATAAGATAAAAAAAAAGAAAGTTTCGACGTAAAAGTATACTTTTTCCAGTAGTGAATATTTGCCTATAAAATTCAATTATATGCAGCGACAAAAGTTTCATTCTTTTCGCTTAAAAAACAGCCACACATAAGTAAATATAATGACAAACCTTTGAAACTAAAATTTTCTACATGATATGTGTCTTTGAAGGATGAGCACTAGAAATAAAGAAGTTCATTTTAATTCAGAGGATGGTAAGTCTACTTAAATTCATGAAACTGAAAGAATGTTCCATGAATTAATTTTAATCAATACAGAGTATAAATCTTCCAAGACTAAACTTCTTTTGTATTTATTTATGTGAGATGAAAATCAAGAATTTAATGGAGATCTAGACTAAATAGTTCAATAGGGCTACTGACGAATTTTTAAAGTATGACGCAAGAAACAACAAAAGAAAATCATGGGTGTTTTTTGATAAAACAAGTTTTGATGATTCACATAGAAGACTTTACAAAAATTTTAACAAAGAAAATTAAATTTAATCGATAATTTTTATTCATGTTTTATTTTCGGTTATTCATAAAAAATTATTCCATATTACTAACCCCTTTGTTGGAAAATATAGATGACTGTGCAAAGTAGAATTTAGTCATAGCATTGAATGGTTACTATCATTGATGATTGTTTTCATACTATGCATAGATTTTTTTTTTCTGTTTATTTCTGCAGTAAACGAGGTTGATAGGAACAAAATACTTGATCCACTATCTTCTGAAACATCTGAGGTCGACAACAGCGCAAAAAATAATGTATCGAACAACACCGAAAAACTTACTGAAAACTCTGCTAATTCATCTTTATTATTTGATCCATCAGTTATCACACAACAATATCCTGTAACATCGTCAAATATTCGAATTCAAAGTATGTTTTAATCTTGTTTTTTAATAATTTTATCAGTTGTTTCTAAATTTATTTCATTTCTTACAAGAGAATGTGGGTGTGAAATAATGGGACTGCGCGCGTAAACTTTTTTATAAATTCAAAAAAATATTCAATGTTATTTACCAATGTGATCAAGATTTTTTTTTGAAATCTCCCGATTGAATCGATGTTCGTCTTATTATTTTTGAACAATAAGTGAAATCTGTATGCCCACTATTTATTAGTCAAATCTTACAGCGATCTGGACAAGTTCAGGATAAAGTATATTCAAAATGTGGTAGCGTAATGTTAAGAGTGTTATTTTAGAATAAATATAACTAATCGATCTTATTAGTAACAATAGACATCCTATGACTCAACACTGTTGATTTTTTTTTATGAAATACTCATGTTTTCGAAGAAAGGCATCTAAGTTAAGCAGCTCTATGCGATAAAAGTAATCAAAGCTACCTGGAAAAAAAAGAATTGTCAGAATAGGGTAGTTTTTATTTTTAATTCTTTAAAGTCATAAAGCGAAGCATTTTCAATGTTGACTGTTCTTTACATTATGTTTTGATCTGTGTCGTCAATATTCTTACCACACAGTAAAACAACGAAAAAAAAGAAAAGAACAAGATGAGAGGGTCGTTTCTGCATAAAACGTAGTTTTTTACAGTTGCAAAACTACCTTTGAATAATGTAACATGTGTCGACAGCATGCTTCTTTTCCTCAATAGAAAACAATAACAGGTAAATATAAATAAATACGCAATTTCGAGTTATTATATTCTATATATGAAATATCTATTTTATACATGAGTAATGAAGAAAAGGACATCGTTTTCTATTCAGATAACGGTAAATCTACTAAAATTCCTCAGAGATTATATGGTTCGAGAAAAGGATTCTATTCTATTTATTCATTTAAAATGATAATCAAGCATTTATTTGAAACCAAAATTGAATTTTGCAATATGGTTATTGAAAAATCTTTAAGTATAAGCCAATAGTATCTGTCCTTGATAGATGATAATCTGGTAATGCATTCGATACGTATTGAACATGTAGCAGATTTTTTTGACGCAAATTCGGTAACACAATTCAATGGTCAGTATCAATGAAGATTATCTACATGTATATTTAAAGATTTGTCTGCCTTGATTTCTACAGAAAATTATGAAGATTGGGAAAAAATTATTGATCAGTTGCTCTCTCAATCACCTAATTTCGAAATTTTTGGAACAAATAATTCATTTAATAATATCGAACAACATAATGAAAAATCGATTGATTTTTCAACGCATCCACTAGTAAGCAACGAACTAAATTCATCAATGGCAACAAATATTCAAGGTAAAAGTATGTCTTAGTTTTGATTTCTAATAATTTTATCAATTAAAAAAAGATTGTTCCTATTATTAGTCCTGCATATAACAATTAAAACATATATAAACAAATACGATTAATACCATTACTAAAGTGTTAAAATAAAGTTTCTAACCATTATTTATATAAAAATAAATAAATCAAATCAATCCAATGAATTTAGTTGATAACAGTACTATTTGTTAAAAGATGAAGAAAACTTTAATAGTAATTGAAGATGAAAGTTAGTTTAATAAGCAATCAAATAGTATTATCTTAAAAAAACAACACTTTGTTTTTTGCATTTGGTTATGTGAAATGATAACGTAAATATTGTGTGAGAGTACTCGATCTGTTTTCATTAGTTCTACTAATAATGAGAAAACAATCACTGGAATACTGCCGTAGTTAAAATAACTGTATCATATAGGAAATTATGTAACGTTGTAATAAAATCATCGATATTGTACGTTCAAGCTTTTAGTTAAACTTCAAGTTCATATATATTTTCACTAATATAAAACTTAAGTTCGACAAGTCACAGGAGTGTCGCTACAGTGGAAAGGATGGGAGGATACCCCCTTCACTTCTTGAAAAATTTTCGTTTTTCTATAGCAAAATTTAAGTTCTTTTTGTTTGTTTTGTTTACCACTTTTCAAAAAAAAACTGTTCTCCCTCAAAGTTCAGTCATTTTTAGAAAAATTTTTTTTTTAACGACTTCTACGTTATTGACCTCTCTCCAATTTTTCCGACCTCGCGACACACCTCACAAGTCATCATAAATAATATTAAACTGATGACCTATGAAATTTGAGTGAAGTTTTTCTGTGATTGAAAATTAGATTTTGATTGACTTCTTTTTTTATGTTTATAATTAAAATGAAAATAAATGACAAAAAAAAATATTCCAGCATAGAAAAGCCAATGGCTAACTATATTTAAAATATGCTATCTTAATAATGATAATGTTATTTTGGTTTGACTATGTGAAATCAATTTTATATTCATTTCTCCTTGTTAAATTATTTGATCAACAACATGCGTGTGATGAGTCCATTGTGATAATACTTATGAAATAGCTTTATTTTCCTTTGAAAAGCATAGAAGTGGTGTAAAATTTTTATTCGGTAAGAATAGTAGAAGCTATTTGAAAGCCAAATAACAATCTTTTGTATGGAAAAAGTTGTCTGACCAGGGCGCTGCTTTTTTTTGTAGACTAACAAATAAAAGTAGTTTTACTGCTTTTTGTTCTTCACATTAGATTAAAAACGTTCTATTGTTGATATAATTATAAGATAACAAAACAAAACAAAAATTAAAAAAAAAGAACACGATAAGAAACGATTTCATTCTGAAATTATACTTTTTCCAGTCACAGAATTTACCTTTAAAAGCGAACGAAATTTGTCAACAAAATTTTTATTTTTTTTTCGGCTCAGAACAAAAACATTCGAACATATATCATATATATATAAGCAGGGGGCTTCACATCATAATTTTATACATGTTACGTGTCTTTTACAGATGAGCATTTTAAACTAAAAAAAATGGCTCTATAGTTTGATGATGGTAAGTTATTGATAATTTATTAAAATTGTACCATTCAATATGAAATGTTGATAAGAGTGTTAAAATATTACAAGACTTTATTAGTTTTCTATGAAGAATATGAGTCATTTAAGACAACTTTTTTTTTCAAAATTGATTCGTATAAAATCAAAACCGAAACCAAGAACAAATTTTTCGATATGTCAATTAATAAATTTTAAAGCATAAATTGAAATATAAATATGACATTAGAGTAATAGTTAGGATTAGAATATTCACCTCACCTTATTCTACTTCGTACATTTACTTCCATATAAGCTCACAAAATTCTCTATCACTTATTAAAAGTCATTTTTTCATTTAATACATAAACTCATTTACGAATTTATGATCCATTTTAGTGACTACACTAGCTATTTCATCGTTAATATACTTGGTACATCCAGTCCAGAATGTATTTCGTATTTACAGTGAAAATGATTTCCTTCGTGAGCAAATCAAAGCAGGCATTCCGAAACTCAAGGACTGTTTAGACAATCCTCTATTATGTTTACGAGTAAGTTGATATCGTGATAATGATTGATGTCCGATTGTTTTGTAGTTGGCTCCAGAATTAATCAAAGCTCAACTTGAATGTACAATAGTATTCAAAGGTCCTGATGGAAATTTCTATATTGCTCCTTATGCATTCGTTCGTGAAAATGATACAGGTCTTGAAATCAAAAATTCTGCTATTTTTGATATGGCAAAAGATGCGATTAATGAAAACGATCTTTTTTTGTAAGACAATTTACATCTAAGAATCTAAGAGCGTATATCCTTTTATTTCAGTTTGAAAATGGTTATTTGCAAATTAAAAAATATCATGTTCGAATGTGATAGTAGAGAAAAAAATAAAATATGTCAAATAAAACGATTTCCTTGCGGTATAATAAACATTTTGAAATTTCAAAATCAGTATGAAACACATGTAATTATCTATTACATTTGTAGGTACTATCGTGAAAGTTGATCATGAACAATTGTCATCATGGGGGATAAATCAGCAGAGAAATAGTATGAATAGACATGCTAAGCATGTAACACCTACGAAATTGGCCAAACATCTTAAAATATATACTGCATATCTTGTTTTTCGTCGAATTAACTGGGATCCTGATGAAAAACAATATGTACCGGAACAAGAAATCTTGTTCTGTTCGAATGCATTTACACCGCGTAAAACAATAAATCATTGTCATATATATGCTATTTTATATGACATATTCTTTTCAATTAAGTGGACGGTTCACATCGACCGGACCAATACGATTACAGTCCAAATGAAATACAAATTAAACAATCGACACTTTTACCAGCTTCATCGCGTCAAAATACTAATGAATATGATCTTCAAGTATCATATAGTGTAAGTTATTCTTGTATATTTTTTGTTTTATCAAGAATATATTTGTTTTGAAAAGATTCAAGAAATGTATAAGTGTACAGGATTGAAAAATAAATATTTCATAATTAAAATACTTACTGGCAATGAAAAAAAGTCAAATATTCATCCAAATTATAAGTTAATGGATGGTCAAGGACCGGTTGATTCATTATTTATTCCTGTAAATGAATATAATTCGACGTAAGTGTGTATTTCTAATGTATTTTCATATTTAGATAATCACAACAAAATTTTTTGCATCAAATAAATAAATAGATTTTCAAGAACAAAAGAAAAGCTTATCAAAATAAAACAATCTACTAGTTTTTATTGTAGTCTCATTAGCTTTGTACATAATATCTATAGGTCTTATTTTTTGTAGTTTAATGTTGAAAATTACTAAATGTACCGTTGAAGAATGGGAAACTGATTCTACATTAAATCCGACTGTACCAGTTTCATCTGCTAATATTGCAAGTAGGTAATCTTTTATTTAAACATTTATGTTCATCTGTTCTTTAATTTTATCTAATTATATAGCAGTTTCTATGGCAACAGTCTATAATACAAGTATGAATAGTCTTCGTGTACAGTTACAACTATGTGATTACTCAAACAATGTTCGTGTTCCATATCCAAAATCAATTGCTGTATCTAATCAAATGATTGATGGCAAGTATTGTTGTTTAAATTACAGTATATTAATATGAACTTTATTTAAAGAATCGACTTCTTCTAAAGAGGTAGAGACTCTTTCGTCACCGGAAAATGATCATTCAACAGATGACAGTTCAACAGATGAGTTTCTTGATGAATCATTAACAAATGTGAAACGTTCATATGTAAAAAAAGCTGGTGAACGAACTGGGTGAGTTTTGATACTTTTTTGTTTACATCATTGAATATCATACCGAATTTTTTTCGATTGTAGTTCACCATTGCAGAAAATTCAAAAACATTAATTATTGTTGATACATACTTGATCTAATCAAAACAAAAAATAATTTTTCTAATGTTTGTATTTTTAACGTAACATAAAATGTGTTTTTGATTGTGGCTCTTTAGAAGGCCATTTTAATATAAATAAAAACTAAAGCATAGCTAGAATAAATCTATTTGATATTTATTTCTTGGTTTTTGATAAAGATATTGTCTTGAATAATGAAAAATGTAATGAAAAAACATGAAAATTATTGTCAAACATCTTGATTTAAAAAATCAGTCCGAAAATAGATAAAAGGGTATGAGAGTTTGTCTGCATGTATTGTCACTCTTAAGTCATTATCATTATTAATGTCCGGTAGGATAATCGATTTTTTTAATGAATACATGGCTTTACCAAGTGACAAATTCAATAAAATGATTATAATCTTTAGAAATATAGCACAAGGAAACAAGCATTTATAGGTATGTATTACTTTCATCGGTGTCCGTTTATAAGAAGAATACTAGTTCGATTGGCAAATCATACTTAGGAACTTCTCTTCATAATGAATATACGTGTTATTCTAGATATTCATTTCCTTTTGATTGATATCGAATATATAGTGGGCATAATAATTTTATTACTTCAAGTTGGCAGCTTTGTGACATTCCAAAAGATCAAGTTTTAATTGATATTTTATCATAGTCAACAGAAAAATGAAAGTGAAAACAATCACATAAAATGTACATTGCTAACACTGGGGATTTTGTTAGTAACCACAACAATGTGATGAACTGGTGATTAGCTGCTGACAGTAACGTGTGCATCATGTGTAGGGTATCGGTGGTGTGAGTGTGAGTGAGTATTTTTGTCTACCATCCTAATACTCACACCCATGATGTGAAGATCGAGGTTCTTTTTTGTGTTACATTGTTAACGAATGATTCTCACTATAGAAATTTGATTCTATTTCAATTCTTTCATAATAAACACTTCAGTTACTAGTAATTTTTTGAATAAAATTTATTTCTGATGTGACTACTGAAACGTAAGTCAATGTTATATTAAAATAGAAAGTTATATAAATAATGGCTCTATATTTAATCAAAAAAATATATAAGTTATGTGTAAGGTTAAAATAAATATAAAATTTTATTATTATTCATTTTTTACTCAAATAGTTTGTTCTTGACTTTGAATTTGTTCCATTGATGATGTTATTGGTAGAACGGGGTCAGTAGATTCTGTTAATAATGGAAGTTTGTTTCGCATTGTATGATTCATTTGATTTGGTATTTTTCCTAAATAGAAATATGCTCGTGATATATTTGTATGCCGTCGAGGTGAATATATATAATCGGTTTCCATGGCATCAGAAGTTATTGGTATGCGACGACTACAATGTGACATTGAACGATAATTTGTATCTTTATTTAGTGAATTTGTACGATCAATGGCTCTTGTATAAATGTGTGGTACAGCAAAATTTTTTAATGAAGAATATAGTTCCCGTGGATGAGGAACATATCGATCAGTGTATTCACTAAATATGAAATAAAAATATTTAGATAATTAATCTCGCTCTCTTTCCTAGATTAAAAGATCATTTTATCAGAGTCGACAACAGAATACATTTTTGTTTTGTGTTGATTTGGAATTCAATTTTTCTTTTTTTTTGATTTAGCTCTGTAAACTTAAAATAATAATTAATTCTTGCACGAATCAGCACATCGCAGTAAATGAGAACCATCATAGATATTTTTCATAAAAGAAATACTTAAACTAACATTATGTTTGAGATCATATCAGTTCTCCTTGACATAATTGACAAAAATGTGATCACAAAAACAAAAACAATATACGATTATTCATAAACAACAAAAATTTAGGAAATAAGTGATATTTATCATAACAGACAAGGACATTTTACATTCGACAATCAATTTTTGCAATAGGACAAACACAAAACTTACTGTACAATTACTTTGAATCTAAACAAGTCTTTCTGTCAGTCAATATAAGTCATACAACACTAAATTAACCTTCTATTCAAGCAATCGTTGCTGGAACCGAATGAGTTTGTCAACATACTCTCCAGTAATACGGCAAGGCATCAACATTTGATTTCCAAAACGTTAGGATAAAGCTAAAATTTCAAATTTTGGTATTACTTGACGGTTTGACAAGAAGAGAGAAAAAGAGAAAGCACCGTACTTCAGCGTACTCAAACTAATATGCTAATAGTAGACTTGAAATAGCTAAGAAGTTCTAGAGGATAGCCTTGACATAATCTTTGAGTACGAAGAAAAGTTTCACAAGATGCAATAGAATGTCATGAATTTTTTGAAAACGTTTTCGACATATCCAGCAGATTTCAGTATCTAAAAACTTACCTTTTTAAAAACTCAAACTACTTTTATTGTTACCTTATTTCAGGCATTGTACGTTGACGTCGAAGATTTTGACTTTGTGAACGTTTTCTTTCTACCAGACCCCAACTTGTTGGTGTACTTTCAAGAGGATGATCACTACGTTCAGGTAACCACAGATTATCTTGTAATGCCCATCTTCTTTCTGATGTTTCCTTGAAGACATTTAATTATCAAATACAATATCAATGATAATATTTTTCATACTCGATGTTCTCCATAAGCTCCTCGTCTATTGTATTGTTCATCATAACTTTATGTCAAATACATATTGAAGTTAGAAAAAAAAATGAAGAACTTGATTTTTAATTTTGTTCTACCTGCTAATAAGTTGTTTTTGATCATCAATGTCATGATGATCCAGAATCATTCTTGCAGGTCGATCTTCTTGTGATCCAAGTAATTTACGTCTTAAAACAGTATCTGGTACAGAACTAACATGTGCTGGATAATCAATATGATAGAATGATCTGGATTTATGACATGATTCTTTAAACTAAATAATCAAAATGGAAAAAAATACAAGCAAGAATTTCAGTTTCGTTTTGAGTGTAAACGCTAAGGAATGGCTCGATAAATTCTTAATCAATGATAAAAAAAACTTAATACAAAATAAAATCTCATTTTAGCAAAAATAGAAGATCAATGTCAATGATAGTTCATAGTTTTTTATTTTTTCGAAACTTTTAATTCAAGATGCTTTGAAGCAGAGTTGAAACGAGGCCAACTGATTTTCATCAATTTTTAGGACACTGAAGCTAGTCTATTTTGCTTGTTTTTATTGGTTTCTTTGGCTTCAACGACTCAGAAATATGAACATGAAAGTCTTCAACTAATAAAGTTCTTATCCTCCAAATATTAATCTTACGTTTTGTCACCGTATGATAATGGCTTGAGATTCATCTCTGAAAATCCAAGCTGCCTCTTCTGACATTGTGAAAATAGTGTAGTCTTAAAACACCGAAAAATATGTAGTCTAAACGTTGTTCAATATCAGTTGTGATGAATTACTACTAGAATTAACGTAGGCTTCATGAATTTCAGACTAGGCTAATGCATAATTTATTAATCTTCATACAAAGACTTATTTTTATGCATAGTTGGTGCTGAGAACTATCATTTAATGAAGAATGCTCTGAGTTGTGTTTTAGTGTATGTAATTATTTAGTTATTTCTTTCATAAACTTCTATGATAGCGATTGGAAATCTATAGAAATAGAAGACTTCCTGATTGATAACAGTGAATTATTTATTTACAAAATAAAGCTTACTTTTGTTTGATCTTCATACCAATTTCCAATAAGAACTTTAGTACCAAAGAATCGTTTTCCACGAAATTTTTCGGGATGTACTGGTATAATTGGTACATTTGCATAAGTACCATCTTTTGGATTAAAAAATCGATCGACTTTTGATGCCATGTTACAACTAATCTTCAATTAAAAAAACTGAAAATTGCAAAATACTATTAAAAAAATCTCTTCAATGGTAATAAAAATAAAATTTTTTATCTTGCCAATATTTTTATCAGGACCTATCAAATGTTTTTTTTTGTTATTGTGTATTTATTGTTTAGTTTATTTTATTTTATTTAAACAAGATATCTCATTTTATTAAATGTATATGAATATTTGAAGTTTGAAGTTCTTTGTTATTGCAAGCATGTTTCTTTTGCATTTAACATAATATTGCAATTTTATTATTTTTGATATTGAGAATTGAATTTGTTGTTCTATACATTACTAGATCAAATAGAAAAGAAACATCTATGATAAATATAATTATCATTATAATACAGTGACGAATAAATTCGATAATATAAAATCACATAATGGATTAACTATTAATGACCAATTTAAGTCAAAATTATAGTCAAATGGAATATCGTGTGTGTGTTAAACGTGACAGTAAATGTGTATCATCATTGAATGTTAATAAATCCTAATGACGATTTATTTGAGATTTTGGATCCTAAAGAATTTATGAAGAGTCGTAAAATTGTCATTTGTTTCTCGTAAAGAAATGGTAATTGGAGGAGTTAATAGATATATATTTCGATTTATGAAATTTTCACCTATTTTAATGCACATCGATGATAAAAGATATCAATCGCAATATATTTCAGTGCATGTGAAAGAAAGTTAAACGACAACCATCGTGCTGATCTCTCAGTTTTGTATGTCACGACCCGTACGAAGATAAAATGAACATCATCGAATTTACTTGTCTATCCTAAACCAAAATACTATATAAGGAGTCAAGTCTTATGATATTTTTCATCTGCTGAATATCGATATATTGGTTAGAATACTTAGGCAATATTATGGGAGTCAAGACTGAAATTAAATCTTAAAAAAGGGAAAATTTTCAGAAATGAAGAAAGCAGCGATGAAAATTGTTGACTATAGAAAATTGAAGAGCACCTATAACTGTATCGAATCCATTTAAATAAGAATACATAAATTTGTCTTAAAGTATCTTATAACATTCCCTCATCATTATCACATGAAAACTGCCA